ACAAAACTCCAGGACAAAGTCAATATACTGTGCCAGGGTTCAGCTGGGGTCTTCCTCTGGTAAATTTATTCTAATGTCCGGGTCTAGTCCACTCCAGAAACAGTCTTTAATCATTGATTCATCGCCAGGAACAAGATGACTATAAAAAAGAGACTCCTCCACATACTCCTCAATGATGCGATTAGAACTGATAAATAGTACACAGTTTTCTCAGCGGGTCCTGAATGGTACCTGTTAGTCAATGTTGGTTCATGATTCATGTTGATCAATGGCGCTGCTGGATCACAGTGTGGCGAATCACGTGAGTCTAGGAGAACCAAATGCAGCGTGTTTATTAGAAAGCAGAGTCGAACAGGCAAAGATCAATATCACAGGCAAACAGCAGTATCAGAGGAAATCCAGGGATAGTCAGCAGGCGATGGTCGAGGCAGGCGGCGAGCAGACGGGAGTCGGTATCCAGGCAGAGGTAAGGAAACAGGCAGACGAGAACAGAGATCAGGGCAATTGAAAGCCGGGGCAATGCAATACTTCGCAGAGAAGTGGTGTGTGGAAGTGGCTTTTATGTGTGTGTAAATGAAGTGCAGGTGTGTGTGCAAACAGTGCAGTGCAGGTGTATGGTGTTTGTTGTAATCAGTCCAGGGAGGTGTATGATGGGAAATGTAGTCCAAATAAAACCAGGAAGTGCGTGGCTAATCGTGACCCCTATGTACACTAAACTTTCCAGTTATACAATTAGCAGTATTCTGAAGATATTTTCAGAGGGATTTGTTAATAAATAATTTCTGGCCTGATTTATGTGAGATTTTAATAAAAAAAATATGGTGAAAATCGATTTCTTAAGGCTATGGACAGTATATGTTGATTTCCTAGGTAATGAAACCACATATCCTGAAATCCCTCTGAACTTTTTTTTTTCATCTTGTGTGTAAACAAAATGAAAAAATAATTTTGCGCCTGGCTTTATCATATGTTCAAATCTATCTGAAAATATATGCAACATTGCGCATATTTAATGAGATAATTCCTAATTTGCATAATTAAACATACAAATTAAAAAAACTTATAATAATTTTTTTTATATACTTGTGTAAGTTATCAACTGAGAAAGTGTCATGGTGATATATATTATTTAAAAAGGTTACCCTATTCACCTGTAGTGTCTAGCCTTAATACGTTTATTGTGTTTAAACGTGAATACGTCTATAAACGAGTGTATAACTGTTGGCTTCTTTGTACAAAGAGAATCGCAATGCTGACAAAACTTTTTTTTTTATAAAAGTTGCTGATAACAACTTTTGGATTTTAAATTAAAATAGTGAATAAATGTTGTGTTTGTGGTATACAGCCGCGGATCAATTGCGCACTGCAAACGCGGGATATGTGAAAGCACTATACCGCGTGCTGCTCCTTCACTGCATACGTACTGCAACACGTTCTGCATATGCACTGCAAACGGAGTATGTGTGAAACAGGCGTTAAGGGTGTGCTCATTGTACCATTGTAGTTACATAAAGCACCAACACTTCAATATTTGAACCTAGACTTCTGAGTAATACTGTAGATATTACTATAAATTACAGCAAAAAATACTGTTAAAACAGTAATATTGGGCGGTAGACTCATTTAAAGTAATGTAATCGTCTGGTTTTAGCCATGTTTCTGTCAAACACAGCACATCTAGGTTATGATCTGTAATCATATAATTTACAATAAGTGCTTTTGAAGAAATGTATTGAATATTCAAGAACCCAAGCTTTATCGTTTGTTCATCTGTGTATTATATTTATTTTATTTGTTATATTTGTTATTTTTACCCTTAAATGGGTTTGAGAGTGGTTTTTTATTTACTAATTCGTGGAACAGACATGGGGCTAGGGATGGGAATTGATAAGATTTTATCAATATCAATGCCACTAACGATTTTGCTTATCGATCCGATTCTTTAACGATTCTCTTATCGATTCCTGATAGCACTGTGTGGAAAAAAGTAGTCATGCTTTTTTGGGGGGGAAAAACACAAGTGGTTTTATTTGTTTTAAAGCTTACACTTGAGTAAGCAAACTGCACTTTTTATGTAATATATGTAATAAATGGAACCTTATTGTAAAGTGTTACTGATTAGTTATACACCGATTAAACGTACCGTGAGTTCAGTGTTGGAAAGATCAGTTGTTTTAACCATTCATTAAAACGAATCGGTTCAAATAAGTCATTAGTTCGCGAATTGGACGTGTCATTATCGGACGTGTGCCGGCGGTTGGGACATCCCAAAAGATGTGTCATCACAGAAAACATTTCATCACTGGATAGTTTTTTTCGTTTATTTAAAGTGTGGTTTATGTCAGCTGAATGTGCGGAACGCTTTTCAGAGAAGATAAGGCAACGTATTTTAGCACAATTCACACCCAGCGGTAGCCTAATTCAGGAAAAACAAGTCTCCGAATGCTCCACATGAAACTTTAGTCTCCCGACCTTACCATCGTGTCGTTTATTTTGATTAATATGTGCGAGGGAGAGAGAGCAAGACAGCGCTTAGTTTTGAGACGGTGAAGCCGCCTTGCTCCGAAGAGAGAGAGTGCGCGCGCGACCGGGGCTCTCTCTCTCTGATCGTATAGTTAAACATGTGCCTTGTCACAAGCGCAGCAGTTCATCTACATTACTCACCGATCAAATAAGACTTTGGTGGTACAAAAATTCGCTTTGGACGCCGTGCCTTGGTGCTTGATAAAGGACAAAAGGGACAGTTGTGAGTTCACGGTCTGTATGGCTGACTCAGAGCAGGAGCATCGATAAGAGGACTCGTTAACGTCGAGGGCATACAATATCGATGGATCGTAAAACTTAGAACCGGTTCTCGAGTGGAACCGGTTTTCAATTCCCATCCCTACATAGGGCCCTATCTTGCACCCAGCGCAATTGACTTTGTACACCGACGCATGTATCATTCCTATTTTGCACCCGTGCAAAGCGGACTTTTCCCTCCACAGACGCACGCCGGCAAACTAGGGAATGAACTTGCGCTGCCTGGGCGGTTCAGCGCAAAAAAGGTGGCGTGTTCCGGAGCAAACAATCCCTGGTGCTATTTTGCAGTTCCAGAAAACAATTGCGCCACTGACCAGAAAAAACCTAGTCTAAAGTCAGTGGCGCGTTGCGCGTACATTCAGATGCTATTTTAAGCGCGCATGCTTGGCGATAATACAGAGTGTGAACAACGCGCATACACTGGAGATGATTCTCTCATCTACACAGATGCATTTTACTTTTTGCAAATGATACATTATTATAAGGAAAAATATTAAAACACGAGGGAAATCATTGTTGTGTCCATGACGGTGGGAAAAATAGGCATAAAGCTTACACATTTACCCAAATTATTATATGCATGTTTAACCAAACCTAATTTGGGTGGGTTTGTCCCATCCCCAGTGTCACTTCTCTTTCTTTTACGGCCCTGACGAGAACATCGATCTCAGGGAACCAGGGTTGCAGTCGTGGCATGTAATCTGTGGCATGAACGGAAGAGATGGCAGGTGTAGAGCGGATCTGAGTGCAAGGGGTTTATAGAACAAACAAACATAAACTGAAACTAAGGAACACAAAGAACCAGAGAATATTATAGGATCAAGGAATGCACACCAACTGTTTCTTTAATATAGATTATAGTCAACATGAAAAATCAGACGACAAGAGAAGGAATTTCTGCTGTTCTGTACTAGTGCTGTAGATGGATCATGATGTGTAAAGTTGCCACAGCTTTGAGAAAAGAAAGACAGATCAATAGGGTAGATGAAGGACTTATTTATCATGCTACCCTTGTGCTTATACTGTTCTACTGTGTATGTCTGGCAGCAGACTATAAAATCAAGGGTAGCACTAGTGCAAAGCCCACAAGCACCTTGGAACCTAATGTATTTTCACCTTTTAATTTAAGATAAGCCATAGCAGCGGGCCAACGTGGGATGCCGACACGGGCAATATCTAATTTTTCCTAGTTGTTGATCGTGGATCAGTCAAAGGTGCTGAGACTTCAGTTCGGCTCTTTCTTTTTTTCTTGAACCAAAGTATGCCAAGTTGTGTATATGTGTTTCATTAATCCTTTGAAATGTATTCATCATACACAGGTGTTGCCACTAGCAATACATAGCAATAATGGCTTCGCAAGTACTAGCAGAAAAAAAAAAAACCTGCTCTGAATGCAGTTGCCTACTGCAGATTACTTTTGTTAAATAAATTACTTTGTGTTTATTGAGTACTGCTTTGCAAAGGGATTGCATTTCTGTTTTTGGCTCTTTGCAATTAGATTAAAGTCCGCTCCTAATTCTCAATGCACTTAGAGGAACTTGCATATAAATGTTCATATTAATCTTCCTCTCAAAATTTTACAAGTGAAAACAATTTCAAGCCTCCTATCAGAGACATGTTTGCCCCTAGCAGCTTTAGATATAGATATACAGTATATCCATAAAAAAAGTTCTGCAAAGTTAACAGAAGAAATGTGACTGCAGGCTGCCATTTGGAAGGCTATCAGAGCAAAACATCTCCAGACAGTTTAATCAAATTCTTGCAGTACTGCTCTGCATAGTAGGTTCCAGCAAATACTTGTCACAAACAGGTTGCATTTTCACGCTGACATGTCAAGGGATTGATCCGATACAGAAGTTCTTACCAAATATATTGTTAGACATAAAAAAGAAAAAAGAAAAAAAAAAGTCTGTTTACCAGACTAGAATACTGTATATAAGCAAATTTCAGTCAGGAAATCCTAGACGGCCAAATCATGGCCAAAATCGTACAGTGTGCACTGGCTTAAGACTCAAAATATGGTATTGTGCATTCCTATGCACATTAATACCTTGTACAGATCACCTGCGGGCTGAAGAGCATCATTTGAATTTGAATCTCAGAATGACAGAGGGACAGAGCTTGTATGCCATATTCTCAAAGTTCTCCACTTTACTAATTTGCATTTTCTCACCATCTTTACTCTCTTCTTTCTGCAGGCTTTCAGCACTCAAAGTGATATGGCTGCCGTTCTCCACAAGCTCACAGCACGCGTCCCCTGCGTGTGGATCTTCCTCATGCTTTTCGACCCCAGCTCACAAACCGGGTAGGATGACTCATCAACCCTCCCCATCTAGCCTCTCTTTTTCCCATGTTGCTGGCTCTAGGGATGCATTGTAACTAATACATTCATTAATAAGGTTGTATTACTGTGCAGGGTCTTTTACGATCTGCAAAATGCCATTGGAGCCAACCATAGTTGGCTGTAAATCGCTCGCACAAACTGCCATGAATTGGATTTTCAGTGGCAGAGCGGGCTTGGTTACAAGTGTGACTCAATAACCTGGAAAGAAACTGACGCTGGAAAAACCTGTAGGATTCCGAGACGAGTTTAGCCTAGATTGTGTTGCAGTGATGCCAGTTGGTTTTTACTGCTCATTAGCTCACTCGCACATGTCAGCATTGTGAAGGGTCATATAGACAGGGATTTTGGTAAAAAGGGATTTTGTGCTTTCAATCAAGTGCCAGAGCTAATGGTCTTCTAAAAGTAAAATACAACATTAAATCACAACTATTAGGAGAGGATCTCGCAGGCAAGGTCTCTCGCTCTCTCCCTCTCTCCGCGCTACACTGTTTGGCGCTGACGCACATACATTAGGCTATGTTCTGTCTCGCATGCGCAGCTCTAGATTCTAGGAGATTTGAACTAATTTACGTGTCGTGTTGCTGTTGTATCAGTCAGATCAGCGCAGCACTCAATAATCAGGACAAGAGAGGTCCCGATCGGGACAAATAAAGTAGGCCCAAAAATCGGGACGTCCCGCGTAATTCGGGACAGTTGGCAACCCTATAGAGTAACAAACTACACTTTTACGTGCATGCATATGATTGACAGATAAACCATGCACTCTTATTTCAATGTTGTTGTTAATGTTGAGGTTAGTTCAGCTTTGTGCAAAGTTTGCTTTGTACATTTAGTTTAAATGCATTATTTAGAGGGCAAGCTTTACCATACAAATTAACTGTGTGCCTGCATTTTAGACACTAGAATGCATGTCAGGAGCTGCAAAAATTACAATTTAGAATCAGAAAATGAGCATACCTCACTTACATTCCCTAAAATATTGAAACGTTAGGGATACTGATTCCAAAGGACAACGACAGTGATTTAATGTCAAAGTGTGGTTTAAACGCCCCACAACTGAACTGGAAGTTTTGATTGGTTTTGCACTCGAGTCAGACATTATTATTGCTTGAAGCGCAGGGCTCCACCGCGGTTTGAAAAGTGCCCGTCAAATGCCAGCTCGCCTTGTTTCTCCGTCGGCACCTTTGTCATTTGTGTACTTTGTACTTCTGGTGAAAAATAAATGTAGCAAAATTGAATACTTTATTTTTATTCAACTGAAGTCAAAGTAAAAGTACCACAATTTAATTGTACTCAAGAAAGTAGAACAAATTGACCAATGTACTGAAGTACTGTAATGAAAGTCCACCTCTGCTATGGACTTTTAAAAATTAATTTAAACTCAGCTCCCAGCAGTGGTGTCAGTGTTTTTACAAACAGTATATCATTGTTTAGCCTTTTCAAATTTCTTTTTAACCCTGGGTGAAGGACAAAAAATAACTTTGCAGTGAGCATAACAGGGCCTTTACAGTGGTCTAAATCCAGAGCCATCATACCAGATCATAACTTGGTAAGTGTTTAATAGAGAATCATTCTACTGCAGATTTATAGCTGCTGATCAGGATATATTTGGCATTTTCTTGGTACAGCGTGTGTGTGTGTGTTGCCAGATATGCGCAGCAGGCATCTATTCATCTGGATCCTCACCATCTTTGTCAGAGTAATTAGTCAAAGAAGAACATTGATTGGAATCTACCAATTCCATCTGCCAGTAACATAGGGAAAAAAGAGACACATGCACAAGAGAGAGTGATGAAAGAAGCATCTGAGATGAAAGCGGAAGGATAGCAGACGTTCATTTTATTGCACCCCCCTCCTTCCACCCACCACACACAAGATATTCAGTAGGGGTGACTGAATGTGATGTCCTTGCTTTGGGAGCAGAAATTCATTTTCCACTATGTCAGCAGATTGAAAATGTACTGAATTTGATTCAGTGTGATATCACAGCACCAGTCTTCTGGAACATCTATCACCCCAACACCATTACAAATAACACCAAAAAATTTTCAGAAGATGATTTCAGTTGTTGAAGAGGCTGGCACAAATTTGACATACGTCTCCCTCTGGAATCAGCATTTAACACCCCTGTTTTACCCTTTTTCCCACAAAATTTGTCAAGTATTAAGTTGAAGAATCAAGTTTCCCTTTCAAAGGGAACTTGCACTGCGTTAAAACGCTGTGGGAACGCCTCTACGTGATTTGCGTTCAGCTTATTCAGAGAAAACTGTTAGACAGGAGTTTTTCACCATTGTGTAAGTGGCATTATTGTGGCGAGCAAACAACAATTCAGGAACTGTGTTCATCTCTGCCCACGTTGTATTACGGGTGGGGATACACATGTAGATACTAAAGACTCGCCACTTCATATCCCACACAACTTGCCACTGCATTTGAGGAGCTTGTGGAGGTTGTGACTCGAGCCGAAGCCAGGTTAAACATCAACTGGCCGGCCGAGAAACAGGAGCGTCTTTATAAAAGTAGATTAGACAAACGCTTTCTGCCATCACACTCACAACCTCCTCGATGGGGCTTACCATTTTTTCCGGGGGTTAGCTCTGAAGCTATCAAAGGGCTGTGTCAAGCAGCAGATTTATCTCTCCGGGCCACCAAGGAGACGGCCAAGTCAGTCGGTAGCTCTCTGGCAGCCCTCGTGGTTACGGAGAGAAATCTGTGGTTAAATCTGTCTGGATTCAAAGAAGAAGACAAGAGCTTTTTATTGGACACCCCACTCTCTCCATCTGGCCTTTTCAGCGACGCTGTAAATTCAGTCGCCGATAGGTTCCGAGAGGCAAAAAAGCAAGCGGCGCCGTTCCAAAAATTCCTTATCGGAAGCATCGGAAGCCGAGCATCGCTACCCGTACTCCCTTGCAGAAAGACTAAGGATCGGGGAGACGCTCGCAGTCCAAGTCCTCGATGGGCAAAACGGATCTAAGGACTGTTATTGCTTCTAAGAGGGCTTTGGCGGCTTACGAGGGCAGAGCTCTCCGGGGGAGACGGTTTTCACCTCACTATACGTGCCCGTCTCTCCTCAGTTTCCTCAGGGGGCCATTCTGCCATCTCCGCCACCTTGTTTGTTTTGGGAAGTCGCTCTGTAGGGAAGCTCAAATTCAAGATGCTTACTCTGAAGCAAATCATGTTACAAATTAGGTCCGATGACTGGTTTGTCAGGATAGATCTCAAGGATGCATACTTCCACATATCCATCCTTCCTCAAGACAAGAAGTTCCTATTGGGTTCGTCCTATCGGCCTAGCTTTATCACCCCGTACTTTCACGAAGTGTGTGGATGCAACTTTAGCTCCTCTGTGACTCCAGGGCATCTGCATACTAAATTACATGATTGTTGAAAAACAATGATTGGTCGATTCTAGCTCAAACGGAGCACCTGGCAGTTCAACATAGAGATGCTGTTCTTGCACACATGAGAAAGTTGGGGCTAAGGCTGAATGCCAAGAAGAGTGTGCTTTCTCCAGCTCAGAGAACCACTTTTTTAGGTGTGATATGGGATTCGAAGACAATGCAGGCACATCTGTCTCCTGCTCGTATTGCTTCAATTCTCTCAGCTGTAAACGAGCTAAAGCTAGGCCAGTGACTCACTGTAAAACAGTTACAGAAGCTTTTGGGTCTGATGGCAGCTGCGTCCAACATGATACCTTTTGTCCTGCTGTACATGAGACCCATACAGTGGTGGCTTAAAACCAAGGGGTTCTCCCAAAGGGGAAACCTGCCCTGCATGATTGTGCTTTAGTTATGTGGAAGAAATCATGGTTGTTCATACAGACAACATATCGGTGGTCTCTTACATAAACCTTCAGGGGGGTCTGCTGTCACGCCCATTATACAAGTTGGCTCACCAGATCCTCATGTGGGCCCAAGGGAAGATGCTCTCTCTGAGGGCAGTATACTTCCCGGGGTATCTAAATCAGGGGGCAGACATCCTGTCAAGGCAGGGGCCGAGGCCCGGGGAATGGAGACTCCACCCCAAGGTAGTGGAGCTCCTGTGGGAGAAGTTCGGCCGAGTGGAAGTAGATCTGTTCTCATCTTCAGAGACGACACATTGTCCACTGTGGTTCTCCCTCACTCATCCAGCTCCTCTTGAACTGGACGCCATGGTACAGATGTAGCCGTGGTTACCTCTGTATGCCTTTCCCCTCGATTGCTCTCCTCCCGGTAGTTCCGGAGAGAGTTCGCCGGGATGGGGTCCATCTTCTGCTAGTAGCCCCGTTCTGGCCTGTCCGGGTATGGTACTCTAACCTCGTGCCTCTCCTCCACGGCTCTCCTCTGGAGATTCCGCCCAGGAGGGACCTTCTTTCTAAGGCGAAGGGGTCGATTCCTCACCCCCATCCAGAGTTATGGTAACTGTGGGCTTGGCCTCTGAGGGGGCCCAGCTCATAAGTTCAGGTCTCTCATCGAGGTTGTTGAGATCATCCTTCAATCCAGAGCTCCCTCCACAAGGAAACTTTATGCCTTGAAGTTGAGATTATTCACTTCATGGTGCGAAAATCACCAGCTGGACCCAGTTAACTGACCAGTGGGTGGAATGCGGGAATTCCTGCAGGAACGGTTCTCCACAGGGCTATCCCCCTCCACCCTAAAGGTGTATGTGGCGGCCTTAGCTGCCTACCACACTCCTTTGGGTGGTGTGTCTTTGGGGAGACACCCTCTAGTGACCCATTTCTTCCGTGGCACCTTAAGGCTTAGACCTGCAGTCTGCACGAGAGTGCCGGCTTGGGATTTGGCCATAGTATTGGAAGGCCTTTCCTTGGCTCCCTTCAAGCCTATTGAGGAGGTTCCTGAGAAGTTTCTCACTCTGAAAACTGTCTTTCTCCTCGCTATCTCGTCTTTTAAAAGAATTGGAGACTCCCAAGCCCCTTCGGTATCTCCCTCGTAAGGCTGTCACGTTCAAATTCGAACGGATAT